CGACAGGCCTCAGACTCAACATGGAGGCCTATATCAAGTGCCTTGAGGGGGTAGTGCTTCCCTGAGTCAAGAGGGTGGCTGCTGGAAGACCCTATGTCTGGCGACAAGAGAACCCAGTCATGGCTCTCAGACAATTTCTGCGACCACACACACACACACACACACACATATATATATATATATATATATATATTATATGTATGTATATATATGTACTCTGGACTCGTTGAATTCGACGTATGAGGGTCAAGCAGATCAGTTCCTAGGAAACCGACAGACCGACAACAGCACATGAGATTTGATTATAGTGGTGAAGGTTTCGTGCAGGACCATCCACACCGAATACTAAGTGCCACAAGGTCCCCAAACGACCCTCCGCAGGTTTTGAATTCAGAGTTGTCCTTCTCCTCGAGCAATTGCCATCCAAGGCTATAGAAACCAGTCTGTTCTGCTATTTACCCATAGCTAGAGGGATAAGAAGAGGATTCACACCTTTCCCAAGGATATTAGCGCGTAAGTTAATGTAATGGATTGGACTGGAATTCGAACTCGGCTCTCCGATTCAATCCAAGCCGCAATGCATTACTCCGTGTATGTATGTATGTATGTATTTGTGTGTATATATATATATATATATATATATATATATATATATATATATATATATATGTGTGTGTGTGTGTGTGTGTGTGTGTGTGTGTGTGTGTGTGTGTGGTGCAGTCTATATTACAATTTATAATTTATATTACAATGTATTTTATATTATAATTTATATGCAGTTTATAATTATATTTAATATATTATTAATTTATATGCATTATATTTATAATATAATTATATTTAACATATTAATTTATATGCATGAGACTTCAGAATCTTTTGCATCTCTTCTGGATGGTGTCCTTGTTTAGGTTGGTGAATACTGCCATAATCCTTGCCTTCAGTTCATTTTAGTGTTACAAGAAATTTTTGGGCTCTCTCACTCGACTGCGCCCCACACATAATATTTAAGAGTAGTTAGTTGTGATGTTAAAAAAAGACATGACACAAAACATAAAGAATCTGCTCATGGTGACATCGACGGTCATGTTGTGCACAATCTTTCAGCTAATATTAAACGACTATCGACTGTGGGACAGGACAAGACAGTTCATATTCATACATGCTCAGTAAAGTGCCCTCTGATTCAGGGCCGGTGGAAGAGCCACGTGCCCCCATCCGAATCTATGATACGCCCCCTTGCTCTACTTCATCCAAATTTTTATAAGGTAATCTTCATATAAAATACAATGCAACCTCAGTTCTCGAACGTCTCACATGTCGAACAAATCCGTTTTCGAACAGAAAATTCGAGATGGAAATGCCTCGGTTATCGAACAAAATTCTCGAACAACATTGTCGAAACGAGTTAACCCGAACGGAATAATTTTTGAGTCGACCGTCATGTTGTATACATTTGTGTGTTGTGGCGTGCTTTTCTTTACCAATTTTTTTGCACTGTGATTTTTTTTCCTCTACATTGATTCCTGTTGGAAAAATAGTTTCGGTTCACGAACATTTCGGTTTACGGACGGCCTTCAGAAACGAATTCATGAAGCGAATGTACAAATTTTACGGTAGCCTAATTATGTCCAAGAATGAATCATATGCAATATAGATGAACAATTCAACTAAAAAAAAGAAAAAAAGAAAAGAAATATAATGTATCTAAATACAAATTAGAGACATTTCATAATAGATGATACCATCTAAAATAAATCAACACTGTTTGGCGGCAATTATAACATCAACTTGTTTTTGTTTTTTTTCCTGTTAAAAAGTTGAAGAATTTTAACTAACACATTCAACATTATGGATAAAAAATAGTGAATTTTACGTAGTTTTTTTTTCGAGACTTAGTATGAGCAAAACAAATTCACGGATTTGGACAAAGAAAAACCGAATATGACGTTAATGTTTTGCATCTTTAATAGTCAGTTGTGCTTAGTTTAATTTGTAACGTATATAAATATAGGTAGAAAAAAACAAAAAAAAAACAAATGTTTAGTTTATAAGATAGCGAGAGGCATAAAGCAATGCCTGGAACCCCCTAGTCAGTATTGCCCCTTCCCCGGTCGGGGGGTTTCATGGGTAGTACCCGCCGGCCTTGGTTCATATTCATATTCATGACACAATAAAGTACCCTCTGACTGATTGCCCAAAAAATACATTAACGCTACCCCGTTAAAGATATTGAAAATGGCTGGATATATCTCGGACAGTTTTTACGTACGGTCAGATTACCTTATCAGTTTGTTTACTCAAATAATGATTTTTTCAGATTAAGAAAGACTTCCTTATTCAAAAGCATGGCATAATATAACATTTTAATACGCACACTGCCCGATTGAAAAATTAAATTAACACGAGAAAGAAAACATATAAAGAGCGTTATTGAGTTCAAGGGAGATAATTTTAAAATATTGAAAGCTTACCAGAGTAACGTACCTTTAAGAAAGTTTATATATATATATATATATATATATATATAGAGAGAGAGAGAGAGAGAGAGAGAGAGAGTGAGAAAACTATAAAAATCAGAAAGAAATACAGTTTATCTATAAGGTATCTATGTTAAATATAAATCCAGTTCATCGATATTTATTTGCTATTTTTTGCAGTATAAGAACAACTACAATTTAAAATCTTACACGCAGAGAAATAAATAAAAAGAAGAATTTCAACATGATATCAATAAAGTTATTTCCCCTTTACTAATAACCTTTCGTATCTCGTACTTAGTTTTTTAATCATTTCACCCCCAAGCAAGGCGACAATGAATGCCACTAGAACGCAGGCGTGGTGGGTATAGGGGGGTATATGGGGGGAGGGAGAATGAGAAGACGAGGGTTGAGGAAAGGACCAAAAAAGAACAGGGTTCAAGAAAACAGAAGATGGCCATTGATGTTGCACGTATTTTTTTTTTAAAGATTGTAGTTTTCAGGGAAGCAAGAAAATCAGAAAGGAGTGCCACAGGTTGAAGGTGCGAGAAAAGAAACTGTTAAGGTAGAAATGGCGCTTGCATGTAGCACGTTCAACAAAAAAACGGTGAGACCTAGATGCCAATCTAGTAGCACACTTAAATTCATGTAGTCGGGATAATAGGGGGAAAAAACTCATCAGAACAGTTGCCATTAAAATATTTATTGAAACGACAGAGGTAACTTATATCACGTCGGTAAAAAGGCACTGAAGTCGAGATTCCTGGCCAGGATCGATTACATTACAGACCCTTCTGCAGATTGTGTCAAGAACCTTGAGATGCACAGCAGGCGTACCAGACCAGATATGGCAATAATATTCAATGTACGGACGAATGGTAGATTTATAAATGTGCAAGATAGATTCTGATGAAAAAGAAAATTTCTTGAACGATACATTGAACCAACTTTCCTTGCAGTAAATGTAGCAACTGATTCCATGTAGCCTATCCACTTCATGTCAGTGAAAAACGTGAGGCTAAGAAGACGTAAAGTAGAGTCGATCTTCCCTGGAGTTTAGCATCAGCCATACTGATGGCAAGCAGAAATGGTTCTCCGGTCATTATTTGAAAACAGTTTTGTTTTTGGAGGCATTAAAACATACAAGCCATTTCTTGCCCCAGTTCACCACCAATTAGAGAGGTTGCCAGGTTTACTTTGTTGAATTTGTCGGATGACTCGAAAGCAAAACTGCTTTCAAAAACTCATTATTTGAGTAAACAAACTGATAAAATAATCTGACTGTACGGAAAAACTGTCCGAGATATATCCAGCCATTTTTAATATCTTTAACTGGGTTTTGTGTTTGTCTTTAAATGGTATTTGAAGTTGTTTTAACTAACTTTATTCTAAACTAGCTTTAAATCCGCACTTGGCTTGTAATACTACGGAGTAAATTCCTCCTTTTATCACATGTACCATAAAACAACCTAAAAAACTACGCACACCACTACAAACAAACAAAAAAGAAAAAGAAATTGTATGAAAGTAGAATACAAATTAACCATGCCTTTCCTGTTATTTGTGTACGTTTTATATCCTGTCAAATATGCTTTTTATCTCCGTGAACACAAAGCCCATTTCTGCTGCTGTGATGCGAGTGAACCCTCACAACACTATAGGGAATGACGGCGTGCATAAGAAAAACAACCTCTTCACCCACAAGCTACAAAGGATAAAAAATTGTGGCGACCTATGATCGCCCACATCCTGAAGTGACACGACACAGAGATAGAGTGTTACCTTGATTATCCGAACTTCAATTATCCGGAAGTGAAATGAAGAGAAAAATGAAACCATTCCAACATCTTTTTCCAGTTATCCGGACTAAACTTATTCTAATATTTCATCTCAAACGTTGCATGGTAATGCCATTACTCAAGTCAAAGTTTAACAGCCCCCAAATACCAAAAGGAATGATCATGTTTGGTAAATGTTTAAGTTGGTTTCGTTTTCAAACAGAACTTACCATTACAAGGACGTTAACTTTAAATTAAACTTCGGGGGTTAGCAGCAGAAAAAAACCCAGGCCAACCAGAAACAGACAAAAATTGACGTTTTTTAAATAAAAAATAAAGTGAACAGGACCTTGAATAAAGCGTTTGAAAATAAATGTCATTTAATGATATAAATGTTGAATGTAATTCAGTAAATAACTTTAGAGTAATGGATAGCGGCTCGGATTGAAGAATCGGAGAGCCGAGTTCGAATTCCAGTTGAATCCATTACATTCGCTTAGGTGCTAACTCTTCTGCCCCCTCCACACACACCAGCTATGAGTAAGTATCAGGACAGACTGGGTTCTATAGTCTTCGATGGCAACTGGTCTACTGAAGAAAGAAATGGCAACCTACTGCGGAAAAATCTGCCTTGTCAGTCATATGTCAAAAGATACATGATCGCCTAATCGTGTATCACGCATGTTACATAACTGATCTATCTATCTCGCTCGGTCTGTTTACATCTATTTATTTATGTCAGTCTATTCACATCTATCTATCTATCTATCTATCTATCTATCTATCTATCTATTACATTCACTTACGTGTTAATACCCTTGGGAAAGGTGTGAATCCTCTTCTTCTCCCTCCAGCTATGGGTAAATAGCAGGACAGACCGTGTTCTATAGCCTTGGAGGGCAACTGATCTACCGCAGAAAGAAATGTCAACCTACTTTTTTGTCAGTCATGTATCGAAAGATACATGATCACCTATGCGTTTAAAACACATGACACATAATCTATTTATCTATCTATCTATCTATCTATCTATCTCGGTCTGTTTACATTTATTTATTTATCTCAGTCTAATCACATCTATCTATCTATCTATCTATTGAATCCATTACATTCACTTACGTCCTAATACCATTGGAAAGATATGAATCCTTTTCTTCTCCCATCAGCTATGGGTAAATAGCCGGACAGATCGCCTTCTCTATAGCCATGGATGGCAACTGGTCTAGCGCAGAAAGAAATGGCAACCCTCCGCGGGGAAAAATCTGCCTCCCCAGTCATGTATCGAAAGATACATGATCACCAAGCGTGTACCACGCATGGTACATAACTGACTGAAATAACGTTTTCTTCTTTCTTTTTCGATAATGTAGTTATTCAAATAAACCGAAGTTTTGAATTAGCCGAAAATATTTTTCAACCACTGTCCCAAGTTGTTCCGATAGTCGAGGATTTACTGTTTTATGATTTTTTTTAATTAGTAAATAACTAAAAATGCAATTGAAACGCCTAAATAGATTTGGCCTGTTTCTGAATAAGATACTATGAATTATCAAAGATGGATATTTCCTGTCGAACAATGCTCCACTATAAAATAAAACTAAAACGATTTATATAGTATAAAATAAGATTGAACTGTATTTAAATTTTCTGTGAATTTCTAAAGAGGCGATGAACAGTGCATGAATTGCAACAATGTGTATCGCAAGAGAATGTTGATTAAATTGTATGACTTACGGCTAACCGTAACAGAGGTTGGACTTCAGTCAAAGATGATGATGTATAAGAAGGAAATGAAAAAGCAAACAATTTATGAAACAGAAATAATGAAAAATAAGTGAAATTTAAGAAAGAAAGAAAGAAAGAAAGAAAGAAAAAAAGAAAGAAAAAGAAAGTGATGTAATAGAAAGAAAGAAAGAAAGAAAGAAAGAAAGAAAGAAAGAAAAGAAAGAAAGTGGTGTAACAGAAAGAAAGAAAGAAGAAAGAAAGAAAGAAAGAAAGAAAAAGAAAGTGATGTAATAGAAAGAAAGAAAGAAAGAAAGAAAGAAAGAAAGAAAGAAAGAAAAAAGAAAAAGAAAGTGGTGTAATAGAAAGAAAGAAAGAAAGAAAGAAAGAAAGAAAGAAAGAAAGAGAAAGAAAGAAAGAAGAAATAACAGAAAGAGATAAAACAGAAAGGCAGAAATAAGGAAAAAAGGAAGAAATAAAAGAAAGGGTTAAAACAGAAAGACAGAAAGAAAGCGGAGTAACAGAGAAAAAAAAGAATGAAAAAAAGAAGAAAAAGAAAGTGGTTCTATAGAAAGAAAGAATAAACGAAAAAGAAAGAAAGAAAAAGAAAGTGGTGTAACAGAAAGAAAGAAAGAAAGAAAGAAAGAAAGAAAGAAAGAAAAAAAGAAAGAAAAAGAAAGTGATGTAAAAGAAAGAAAGAAAGAAAAGAAAGAAAGTGGTGTAACAGAAAGAAAGAAAGAAGAAAGAAAGAAAGAAAGAAAGAAAAGAAAGAAAAAAAACAGAAAAAAAGAAAGAAAGAAAGAAAGAAAGAAAGAAAAAAAGAAAAAAAAAAGAAAGTGATGTAATAGAAAGAAAGAAAGAAAGAAAGAAAGAAAGAAAGAAAAGAAAGAAAAGAAAAGAAAAAATAAAGAAAGAAAGAAAGAAAAAAGAAAGAAAGAAAGAAAGAAAGAAAAAGAAAGTGGTGTTATGGAAAGAAAGATAGAATAAAAGAAAGAAGAATTAATAGAGAGAATTAAAACCGAAAGAAAGTCGTGAAATTGAAAGAAAAAAAGAAAGTAATCATAGAAAGAAAGAATGAACAAAGGGAAATAGAAAGAAGTTAGGACTTAAACGATCATGGCTCTCCACAACTTCCTGTCCTTTCCTATATTAACACTTAAGCGTTTACTAGACTTCGTTGACCCTGTAGTACTTGTTCTATTACCCATTTACCCACTTTCTCCAAGTAGTTTACTCGATGCATTCCCCTGCTTCTCTTGCCTTTAATGTAATCTGTAAGCATTCAATTCTGCAATTTTTCTTTCCTTATGTGTCCACAAAATTTCAGCTGTCAATTTCTAAATGTTAACAGCAGTTTATTCATAGTTACTATTTCCCTTGTAACTTCTTCGTTACTCATGTCATTTGTCCATAGTATCATCAGCATTCATCGGTAGGACCACATTTGTCAATACTTGACTTCTGACGAAAATGTCCAGTATTTAAGGGGTATAAAAGATTAGATTATAGTTCAGCAATATGTACTCGCCTGGGAGATAGTGGATGGATCCAGCCAGTTTGAATCTTGAGTCCTAAACATGACTTCTCCAGAAACACAGAAGAATCTTCATATTATAAGTAAGAACCTCTCTTTCCGTTCTCCGTTCACTCTGCTTACTGTGTAGATATATAGGATATTTTTCTCTACGTGGGTCATGTGTAAATATGTATATATAGTTTTGCGCATGTCTTAGTGGTATAAAAGTCTCTCTGAGAACCACGGATATAACATGGGAAATAAAATAGGAGAACAAACTTTTCTTCCAAGCTCACCATCCTGACCTGGCATTTCGGCTTCAGTCACTTTCCCACCGCCGGTGCCTTTTCTATAAATACTTTCATGGTAATTATTTTGATGAGTTTTCCTCTTTCCTACCTAGACTTTATGATTTTAAGCGAAATACTAGATTAGCGGCAATGTTGAAATGGCTCGATGTAACCGTGACTTCTAAGCTAACAGTTTATCTCGCACTTCTCGTTTGTGGAAATCCCTTCCGGTCTCTTGGCATGAAGTCTATTTTGATCTATAAAATAATTTAATGCAATATTAATCATTATCTTCTATCTTTTTAATTTCTGTTCTTTTCGTGCTGCCTCTCCTTAATAATGTTTTCTTTTTCTCCTATTTTATCACACCCAGTAATCCCTTGAGTCTTAGTGGCTTTATTGCCTTGCTTAGAGTGAAATGATTTAAAGGAAAAGCCTGTAAAAGTTAATTAGACCAGTTCATGACCCAGAATAGTGTGGAGCTCTAAGAGGAAGGAATGATGAAAGATGATGAAAGCTAGTGGAATATGTTGTTAAATATATCTACGTACAAATATATAAATATTTCCTCCTCCTTCTTCTTGCTGCTGCTGTTGTTGTTGTTGCTGTAGTAGTAGTAGTAGTAGTAGTAGTAGTATGTGCCGTGTCCGTTCGGGACATTGGCGATCCTCTCGTTTGTAGTGCGTACTAAATATTGCCTTTTTGTTATCTCTCCGAATCCCTGTTCTTCCACCCATTTACACAGACTCTCTAGGTCAGCGACGCGTTGCTTTCCTCTGTTCATCTTGCCCTCAATCTGTCCTGCGAATATCGAAATTTCCTTCTGGATGTTAGTAATCATGGCGCTCCACAACTTCCTCTTCTTTGCAGCTCTTTGTAAAATTTATCATTCTGTCACATTTATGAGTCGTTCACTCACACTTCTTTTTCTCATGCTCTGAGCCATTACCTTGCAGGACCTTGGCGATCATGGCTCTCCACAACTTTCTATCCTTTGTAGCTCTTAGTAAAATTTGTTATTCTATAAAATTTATTCGTTTTTCAATCCTTCTTCTTCTTTTATGTGTTGTGTCCCACCAGGACGCTGGTGATCATGGTTCTCCACAATTTCCTGTCCTTTGGAGCTATTACCAAAATTTTTCATTCTATAACATTTATCAGTCTTTCATTTCTTCTTCTTCTTTTTCTTCTTCTTCTTCTTCTTCTTTGTACCATGCCCCTTTCAGAACGTTAGCAATCATGGCTCTCCACAACTTCATATGTAGCTCTTGGTAAAATTTATCATTCTATAACATGTATCAGTCGTTCACTTCTTCTTCTTCTTCTTCTTCTTCTTCTTCTATGTGTTATATCCTATCAGGATACTGAGGATCATGGCTCTCCACAACTTCCTCTTCTTTAGACCCATTACCAAAATTTGCCATTCTATAACATTTATCAGTTCTTCTTCTTCTTCTTCTTCTTCTTCTTCTATGTGTTGTGTCCCATAAAGACGTTGGCGATCATGGCTTTCCACTATTTCCTGTCATTTGTCGCTCTTAATAAATTTTGTCTTTTTTTTTTTATCTCTTCCTAAACCCTGTTCTGCCATTCATTTATGTAAGCTCGATACGAATCTTATGCGTTGCTTTCCTCTGTCCCTCTTGTATTCAATACGCCTTGTGAGTATCAGATTTTCCAAACCCTCTTTCCTCATTATGTGTCCTAGAAATTTCACCCGACTCTTTCTGATATTCAGTATAAGTGTCCCTTTTCGTTTCCATTTTCTCTAAAACTTCATTATTCATTTGCCCTACTTTTTCCCATTTGAAGGTTCGAATATCAAACCCGTTAAGTAAATCCTTCCACGCGCCAATGAATCGCTATGGCTAAATGTATGAAGGAAGTTGCTCTCGATTCCAGCCGGTGGTAATTATTAGTCTGTCTGGCCTACTGGAATATAATTTAACAAAAAAAAAGCAATCGACAGCTGGACGCCTGTTAATCCTTGCATTTTATTCTGTATCAATTTCAGCAGTGATTAAATTACGCGCCACTCAAGATATAGCTGACCATTCGGAAAGCTACGTGACTAGAAGCTGATGGAACGAGAACGAATCTGAAATGGTCCTTCCAATAACGACAGGAAACCAGAGAAGAAATGGAGCAGAACATTTGTAGATTGATTATCGTGGGCGGCCCACCTGTTCATATAAAACCATGCTGTCATCAATAGGCGGTCGTTTTTATATTAAGAGGACAATCATATCACCCCATGTAAGGCAGTAAAGCCCCTAAGACACAAGGAATAACTGAGTGTGGAAGAACAAGAAAAAGAAAGAGAAACATTCGGGAGAAGGAAGAATAGATGAGTAATCAAGAAAGTAGATAACGATTGACAATGAATTTAATTTTTTAAAGATCAATGTTGACTGGAAAGCATGAAGACGGAAGAGAGATCCACAAGCGAGAAGTGCGAAAGAAGAAACTGCTAACATAGAACTTACGGTTAGGTGTAGCCATTTCAAGTTTAAAATTACGGGAAATTGTCGCCAATCTAGTAGTACGCTTAAATTCCTAAAGTCGATCTACCAAAGAGGAAAGTTTATCAGGAAAATTACCATGAAAAAATCACTCTCTTTATTTACATTAGTTGTAATTAGATTAATGATTATTCTTCATAATTTAATCTCAAGCAAGGCAATAAAGCCACTAAGACGCATGGAGTTAATGAGTATGAGAAAATATGGGAAAAGAAACACTATTAAAAAAAGAGGACAATAAAAGAACAGGGGTTACGATGACAGAAGTTAACGACTAATATTGTGTTTAATTTAATTATTTAATTATTAGAGAATATGCGAAAAAAAAACTACTATTAAGGAGAGAGGATAATAAAAATAAAGGAAGAAAGAAGATAACGACTGACATTGCATTTAAATTTTTGAAGATCAAAGTTGACTAGAAAGAATGAAGCCAGAGGAGAGTTCCACAAGCGAGAAGTTCGAGAGAAAAAACTGTTAGCATAGAACTTACGGTTACATCAAGCCAATTCGACTACGAATTGGTGAGACCTTACCGACAATCTAGTACTGCGCTTAAATTCATAAATTCTAGGAAGTTTTATTTGGGAGGCTTTAAAATGAATAAATCACTCTCTGCAACAGTGAACAGCAAACTGTAGGCCATTTTTTTTAGATCGCCTACCAATTTCACCTAATCGAAATGATCACAAGTTAAAGTTGTTTTTCCGTGCCTTCCAACCTATACTGCTGAATAATATTTAAAATGAATATTTGGGATTTAAACTAATTTTTGAAGTTGTCTCATCTCGGAATAAGTTTGATGTAGCTCGGACTTCTGACTATTTCATATCTTAAGCCACTAAGACGCATGGAGATAATGAGTATGGGAAAATATGCGAAAAGAAAACATTATTAAAGAGAGAGGACAATAAAAGAACAGAAGTTAAAATGACAACCATTAACGACTGACATTCCATTTAATATTTTAAGATCAAAGTTGAATAGAAAGCAAGAACCTGGAAGAGAGTTCCACAACCGAGAAGTCTGAGACAAGGATATGTTAGCATAGAAGTTACGGCTACATCTCACTATTTCCATTGTACTGCTTTTAAATCCATAAAGTCTAGCTAATTCCATTTACATTTTTGAAGATCAAAGTTGAATGAAAAACAAGAACCTGGAAGAGAGTTCCACAACCGAGAAGTCTGAGACAAGAAAATGGTAGCATAGAAGTTACGGCTACATCTAGTCATTTCAATTGTACTGCTTTTAAATCCATAAAGTCTAGCTACCACATTTCATCAGAACAATTACCATAAAAAATATTTATAGAAAAGGCTCAAGTAGTGAGAAGGTAGCTACGATAGTGAGAAATTGACCTAAACCAATATGCCATGAGAAATCAAATAACTGCAGATTCTTCTTTGGATGATATCAGTAACCTCTAGATATATAACAGGAGCACAAGACCAGATATGGCATTAATATTCAAAGCAAGGACGAATGGAAGACTTATCAATAGGTAAGGTAGATTATGACGTCTATGTTATTCTCTGAATACCACCATTATTTTGCCTCAAATATTATGTTTCATGTCATGTTTCATTGGAAAAATACGAAAAAACGTAATTAATAACTGAATTATTCTTGTTTCAATTAATTTTGACAAGGGTGTAAAAGTTAGTGATTTACATTGCATAACATCTGACATTGCTTTTAATTTAATTATTTAAATATTAGGGTATATGAGAAAAAACTACTATTAAGAAGAGAGAGGATAACAAAAATAAAGAAT